GTCTAAATAAATAACTAAACAAATGAAGTAACCAATGAATATTTTAAGAAAATGTTGAATTCTGCAGTAATAAGCAGTTCAAATTTTAGTGACAGGACCATAAAATTTTCCAAATGATACATGAATGTCTGGCATCTGTTTAGCTTTGGGACAAGGAACTGATTAGAAGAGGTACAGGGCTTACAGAAAGATTCTTTTATACTTCTTTTGATATATCATCTAAATGTATTACATGTCCCCCACATCTGATGAAAATGTAACAAATTAGATTTCATGTTAAAATAAAAATTAAAGTTTTGTGTTCGTCTGTCAAATAAGGAAGTTGTTTACATTTTTAAAAAATTTACCACTTGTTGTAGATACTATGGGAAGAAGTCTATTCTTACATTGTGGCTTTACTTATAAATTATCTGTTAAATGACCATAAAACCTGTTACTATTGGTTCAGCAGTTCTACCTCTATCATTTTGCCCTAAGGAAATAATTTGAGCCATACGTTAAGGAAGATATAGATATATCTTAAATGAAAATATGAGCTCCGTTGGGTGGTTATTTCAGCAAATGAAGGTATTCCAGATACATATCAGGTTTTATTAGTTTATTCCTTTTATTGTGATAAGTTTCAAATTTTTTTGCCAAGCTTTATTTCTGATAATTGCAATTCAGTAGAATGTGTTTCTGTTTTTGTTTTTTTAATTTATTTAGAACAGGGTCTACAGGGTGTACAGGGTCTCACTACACAGATCGGACTTGTAGTATCCTCCTGTTTTCAGCCTCCCAACTGCTGAGATTACAGGCGTGCACCACCATGCCCAGTCTCAATCGCTGTCTCAGTGTGCCCCTAGGGAGGGGCTGGCACGGCAGGCTGGGGATAGAACCCCTGGCCCCTGTGTCTGTCGAAGCAGGCGCTTTAGTCCTTTGAGCTATCTGGCCAGCCCTTCAATTCAGTAGAATGTTAACAAGTTCTTTGACATATCTAGTAAAGATTTTTAATAGACTTTGAACAAAATACAAACTGAAGTATAAATAATTCATTATCAAAACAGTTTAGTCTGCTTATAGGACACTTAATGTATAAAAATATCAAAAGTGTACTATACATTTCTAAAATTCCAGTGCTGGTGATTAACAAGAGAAATTTTGTTTCATGCTTGTTTTTTGATGATTCATTACCAAAATTGTTTAATATGATTGTAGAACACTTAGTTGATTTATCATTTACATCATCAAAATTTTTTCAAACACCTGAAAAATCTGATTGCTGATAGCCAAAAGAGACATCATGTATTTATTGCAAATTTTTAGTTATTCACATTGTGTGTATAAAAGCATTTAATATTTA